ATAGAGAACCAATACATTTAGCTTTTCTTTAAACACATATACAGTAACATATATTCATGGACCTGAGAGACAGAAAAATACAAAAGAGAGATTTCATCCAATGTTTTCTTCAGAGTTATAGTATGAATGCTTTGCAAACAGAAGGAAGTTTTGTGAAAGTCTTTGATAAATTATTTTTAATTTAATGTGTTTATCATTCATTTTAAGGCCCTGTTTCCTTTATTTTCCTCAAGCTTTGTAATCGCTTGAAAGGACTTTTGATAAACCTGAAGAAAAGGCCTCAAAGTCTGAACTAAAATACTGCTTTCAAAAAGACAAATCAAACTATAGGAATTCCCTCAGCAAAAAGTAGTAAACTTGAAGTAAATTCTACTAAGAATACTTAAGTATAAGTTTAGAAAGTGTACCGAACAATGTACTTTTAGTGTACTTGAAGTATTACTAAAGTAATACTTCTTTGTACTAAATTGGGACATTTTTAAGTTTACTAAAGTAAACAATAAAGTAAACAATAGTATAGTCACTTATACTTGACTATACTGTTGTTAAGTATATGAAAAATAGTTTAGAATAAGTGAACTCTAAGTGCACTGCCTGATTTTAAGTATGAAATTAGTGCACTTTTAGTATACTTGAATAAACTACTTTTTGCTCAGGGAAAGAGTGATAAGATTAGAATAAATGTTTTATTTGAAGGGAATTATTCAGGACTGAACAATATTCAAATANTTAGAATAAGTGAACTCTAAGTGCACTGCCTGATTTTAAGTATGAAATTAGTGCACTTTTAGTATACTTGAATAAACTACTTTTTGCTCAGGGAAAGAGTGATAAGATTAGAATAAATGTTTTATTTGAAGGGAATTATTCAGGACTGAACAATATTCAAATACCTTTGCACAATACAAGTGAAATCATTTAACGGGAAACAAACAAAAAAACAAGAAACATGAAAATGATCAATATCAATCAAGTTTATTTGTATAACCCTTTACAATAGGCAAATGGTACCCAAAGTGCTTTACAACAAAACCATAAAACAATACAACAAATACAAACATACAGATACAATTAAAAGTGCTGTAGTGGTGCAGCACTGCAGGACATCAAAAGCCTTCCAGAGGTGCATAGAAAGGAGCACACAGAAAGAGGACATTTATACGGAAGAGGATTAGGGCCACTGGAAAAACAATTTAAAAAGTTAACTGATTTTTTCAGTTTAGTATGGGGAAAAAGTCAGAATTCTGACTTTAATCCCAGAATTCTGACTTTTTTCTCTTGAATTCTGACTTTTTTTCTCAGAATTCTGAATTTAATCTCAGAATTCTGACTTTAATTTCTTGAATACTGACTTTTTAATCTCTTGAATTCTGACTTTTTTTTCTCAGAATTCTGACTCTAATCTCAGAATTCTGACTTTAATCTCAGAATTTTGACTTTAATCTCAGAATACTGACTTTTTTCTGTTGAATTCTGACTTTAATCTCAGAATTTAATCTCAGAATTTGCCTAATTCCGTCAGTTTCCACCATTGTGTCACTGGCCCTCCCAAACAACTCACATCTTTGTCAGTGAAGCTGAGTGCTCCCACATCTCTTCCTTCATGGTGCCCATCTATATTAAGTTCCAAAATTCTGAGATTAAAGTCAGAATTCTGGGATTAAAGTCAGAATTCTGAGATTAAATTCCAAGATTAAAGTCAGAATTCTGAGAAAAAAGTCAGAATTCTGACTTTTTTCCCATACTAAATTGAAATAAAATTTTAAAATCAGTAAACCTTTTTTTCCAGTGGCCCTAATCCTCTTTTGTACCGTAGAATAAAATAGAAATTAGAAAAAGAAAAAGAAAGTTTTCCTCAGCAGGAGCTTCTTGGCTGTTTCATGTCTTGCAATTGAGATCCCATTAAGGCATGGGTGGAGCTCTGGCTCCTGATTGGCGGCTGTGGGTGTGTGCAGTGGGAGCGTTCAGCGTGGGGCTGCTCGGTCACTGAGCCGAGCCACAGTCCGGTGCGTAAAGAGCGCACAGGAAGCGCGCAGTGGAGTTGTGCACCGGATTAGTCTTTAGTGATTCCTCTGTCCGTATAATCTGCGCTGCTCTCTCCATGAAGTTTGGTTCTTCTCGGTGAGTTCTTCGCCATGAGCTGCCTGGATGTGATGTACCAAGTGTTCGGTCCTCAGCCTTATTTCAGCTCCTACAGTCCCTACCACCACCAGGTACGGAGCACTTCTGCACGGATTCTTTTACTATTAATTAATAAAGCGGTCAGCAGGTCCGATCCTACCTAAACTTTATCATTTAAAGACCTTTTCCTCGTTAACACAACTTAGAAATGTATGTTTTGAAGAACTTTCTGAACGCTTCAAACTCTTAAAAGTGCAGCTCGCAGGAAAATAAAAAGTCCTTTTTTTTGAGGGATCATTTTAAACATTTTAAATAAATTAATTAGTTCGGACTTAAACTTTTAATATACAAATTTTACCTAATTATTAATTTTCTGTTTTGCAAATGCGTTATAATTTGATAGAATATATTTTTTTTATATATTTTCAATTGCAATATTCTTTCTTCCTGTTTGCATATTATTATAACTATACATATAAAGCCTAGTTATAATGTGATGATTATTTAAACAAAAAAGAAACAATTTTCAGATCATTTTCATTCAAGAATTCATTTTAAATTCTGACTGCCAGGACCCTGAACCCAAGCAGGGTTTTCAAGTGTTTATAAACTTTTTTTAATCAGTTTTTCTCCTTGATTTTGCATAAAAGCTGTTTGTCATCATGCAGACATATCTCCCATGGTGTGAGAACTCACAGCGTCTGTCACCTAAACACTTTTTTGGATGAGGTTTCCATCATATTAAACTGTTTCACAGCTGATTGTTGATTTTACAGAAAGTTTGGACATTAAAGTGTAAGAATGGGACATGCATTTCGGTTTAGTATCTGAAATATATATATATAAAAAAGTAGTGTTATCAGCTTCAAGCATTCTCACATTAATCTACTGATACATCGAGGCATAAAACATCTTAAAGTTTCTGCCTTGTTAATCCATGTGGAATTCACACTAAACATCATCCATGTCTCCAGTTCCTAAAATAGACTTTTATGAGGTTTGCAGGTCAGGTGTCAAGGCTTTTTTAGGGTGGCAATAATAGGCAGTAAGTTGCATCAAAACAAACAACACTCTCTATCCTTTGCAGAAGCTGGCTTTGTATTCTAAAATGCAAGACCCTCAGGAGATCAGCAGCCGGCTCGGCCCCTCGGGGCCCCCGACGATCAAAGAGGAGGACAAGGAGCTGCCGCCGGGTGCCGAGTACCTGAGCTCCCGTTGCGTACTCTTCACCTACTTCCAGGGTGACATCAGCACGGTGGTGGACGAGCATTTCAGCCGAGCCCTCAGCCAGACGACTGTGTACCCGCCGCCGAGCGGACACAAGGCTGCAAGAGGTGCGTGGAAGAAGGCAGTGTTCAAGCTGAACTTTGTGTCAGTTTCTATTTCAATATAGTTTTTCCAGACATTTCAGTTCTAATTTTAACCTGAAGTCCAAACTGCAGATCTAAGTCTGTTTTTTTTGTGAGGTTTAAGAGGTTTTGTGCCTACTGTAGCTGCAGATTTAAAGTGAGTTGCATTCACCCAAACCGGGATAGGAAAAAAATGTAGAACCATAAGTAACAGGGAGACTATTATATCTATAACTCTATAACTCTATTTTTGTTTGATAACTAACTAAAGAGCTGTTGCAAAAATTATGTTGCAGTAATTGGTTCTAAGTGGGTTTTAATTTCTTTTTATATAGTTTTAATGCTGTTATATTTGCAGCACACTGGAAAAACGATCTAGAAATAAGTAAAAATATCTTTAATTAACTGTATTTACCCTTAATTTGAGTAGGTAATGAGATAGTTTGCCAATGGAATTAGTATTTTTACTCTTAAAATAAGATAATTAGATAATATGCACTTGAAAAAAAGACAATGCAATTGTGTTTTCATTATTTTAAATCTAAATTTTATTGTTGCATTGGCAGAATGTCTCTTTTATCTCCTCAATTCAAGAAGAAATACACTTATTTTAAGAAAAAATGACTTATTAAGATTTAGATTTTTTCCATTGCAGAATAATCTGGCCTGCAGTCTTATAGTAATTGTTCTTAAAGCTGCACTAATACAACTTTCACTGCCCATTATAGATTTCTCGTTTTCTTTTAGTTCCGAAATGCAAACTTCAATCTTTATCTTTAAATTTGTATTTCTTTTTCCCAAAGAAAATGACAGATGAAAGATAAAAATGTCAAATAGTTTTTCGGATTATTTTAGATGTTTTGATTTAAAAAAAACAAACATAAACTAAATAAAGGAATTAAAGTAATTCTTTGTTGATATGTTGCAATGCTTTGACTGTTTTTCATCAAACACAAAGAAAAATCAAATTAAGAGCGCACACTATTAGTTAATATGTGATGGACCAAAAATGCCTTTTGAGTAGAAGAAAAACATTGACCCTTTGCAATAACTTGCAGCCGAGGAGGAAAATGAGCCATTTCTGATCCATTTCTGGCTGATCGACTGGTGCAGATTTAATAATTTCTATTTAAGCACAATTTATGGTATTTTTTGTGGATTTTTTTTCCACCTCTGCGGCACTAAATCGATTCATCCCTTTGTTGTTCTGTGTTACCTAATTACACTTTTCTTTATGCCTCAATTAAACAATTCCCACCACTTAAATTAAGGTTTTCTGTTCAAATAGTGATAAACCGATTATAAGTTTTACTCTGAGGTTCATTTTTATAAACCATAAACCCTCATTGGATTAAATCTGGTTGCATGAAATAACAGTATTAATTGGGTATTACTTGTATAATTATTTTTTGTTTGGAAAAAATATATTTATATAATAAACATATGAAATTAAAACTAAACATAGAGCAAGACCTAAACTACTCAAGCAATTTCCAGACTTGTCAAAATTTAAGAAATGTCCTCGCTGCATGATTTTAAAGAGAAGCTTGCCTTTTGCGAACTGCTTTTGGTTTTATGTGCTGCTGGTGTTCAATTCTAAGATTTTACTTTTTTTCTTCATTGCCACATAATTTGTGTTTTCTCAGATGGATCGTTTCCTATGAGTCAGAGAAGTTTCCCTCCATCGTTTTGGAACAGCTCCTACCAGCCCTCAGTCTCCTCTACGCTGGGCAGCGCTCTGTCTGCCCCCCACTCAGAGATCTCCTTCCCAGGGGACCCTTACTCCTCCACCTCCCTGCACAGCCACCTGCACCAGCCCAGCCCTGACACCTGGCACCCATCACACCACCACCACCACCATCATCACCACCCTTACTCGCTAGGGGGCGCCATAAGCACTCAGAGCTCGCCCTACACTCGTCCCGGAGTTCACGAGATGTACGGCGCGACGTTCGACCCGAGGTACGGCTCTCTGCTGGTGCCGTCGGTGAGGTCGCATCACAGGCTGTCGTCTGGCAGCTCCGTGCCGGGAACCAGCACCTCGCCGTGTGACCTGGGGGGAAAGGGGGAGTCAGGGACGGGGTCGGCGTGGAGCGGTGCCTTCACTGGAGCCGGAGCAGAGATCGGACTCAACATAGACACAGGTACTAGTCCCTGAAGTTGGATCGGTTAAAACATCTTTACACTCAACTGAAAAGTTCGGTTTTTCGGGGTCGTGCGAAGTAGGGATGAACAGTCAGTATCTCACAGACAACAGTCAGAGAGATTTCAGTTTGAAGAGTGATGAAAGTTAAGCTAGCAGAAACTTTTCTGGATGAATTTCTACAAACAAAAACATGGTTGCAATTTTCTCATAAATGTTGCTAAATCTGAGAAGCTACTAATGTAGCTTTTAGGCGGGAATTTATCAACGATTCACCAAATTGAGTTCCCTTTGAGCACCGTCGCCTGCAGACAATTAATTGGTGTCTCAAAGCACTTTTCACAAAGCTAATTTATTGCCTCCCTGTATCGTAATGCAGGCATGGGAACTGATACTGTTAATGTTTAGGGAACATAAGGAATTGGATTTGAAGAAAAAAAAAATCTTTATTTCCTTTGTGATCATTTTTATATGATTGGATATGATTTTTACAGTCTCCACAGGAATAGATCATATAAAAAAAAAGTTTTTCTTTATTCTTTATTGTTCATTTTTTTGGTTTCTAGTCAATGTTTGCTCAGATTTATTGGATTCTTCATTTACATTTATGATAAAATACTTTTCTTTGATGGTTTGACAGTTTCGACGAAAAAAGAAAAATACAATAAATCACGATTTTTCTTAATATGTTGATGTTTTTTAAATCAAAAGCATTCTAAGCTCATGGTGTGAAACAAGAATTAAATGAAGATCTGTTTCCGTCCCCCGGATCAGCTTACACAGAGTGCTTTAAAACCAACAAACTGGCCGTCAGTCAGCACCTTAAGTCCAGCTGTCAGCTCCCTTCTCAGCTGCTGTTGCTTTTTTCTTCCCTTCTTTGCTTCGGGCCACTTCCTTTTGCTTTTATCAACCAGCTTTTAGCAGGATCTAATCTCTCTTTTCTTGCCTTTATCTTGTCTTGTTCTTCCTCCCTCCTTTCTCCTCTTTCTCAGGTCTGCAGGCGCAGGATAAGAGCAAGGATTTGTACTGGTTTTAGAGAGCGCTCAGACTCTTCCTCACCTTCCTCTTTCTGTTTTGGCTTTTTGTCTCCGTTCCAACTCTACTCTAAGAAACTGAGGCGGGAATCAGTTTTTTTTGTGTTTTTTTGGGGGGGTATAACAGCTTCTGGTCTGCTTGCAGCTCTGCGTTACGGTGGACTGTGCAGCAGCAGCAGCAGTGAAGTGCAGTCCTGCTGAGCTGAACGCCGGCAGCATGGATGCAAAGCAAGCGTTAAAACAAAAGTGGACTCTCAGAAAGCCAGGAGGGAATCCGATCTGGACCGATACGGACAAAGACAAGAGTCTGTGGTGCTGTGACAGACAGGGACTACATTCCTAAGCTGGAAAGAAACGTCTGGGGGACAGACGGACAGAGACACATGTGGAGTCACACTCCAAGAGGAGCTCTCGAAGGACTTGGCAGAACCTTCCAACTTGGGCCAACTGGGCTCAGACGCTGGAAGTGTGTTATGACTGGTGGTAAAATCTGTGCTGGTGATCAGGAGAGGATCTGGCAGACGATAAAAGCAGAAGTAGTCTGGACACTTTGCCGTTTGGGGAGTCACCTTCCAATTGGACATATCAGCTCAATGTTGATTGCAAAATTGGGATTTGTTGGACTTTTTACTGATTTCTGAAGTACTTTCAACCATGACTGCAACAACAAACCTCATCAGAGGCCTCACTGTATGACCCATAAACCCTCTAAGAAGGTTTGAAAATGGCATCACGATAAAGCATGCTAACTGTAAATCCTATCTCATGCCCTGTAAATTGACATTGTCTTTAATGGTATTGCACAAAGTAAATAAATTTCAGAGTTAAAGATTCAGAGATTTCCGCAAGTAAGAATTTTTGTCCGGACTTTTAACTACAAGCATATTCCTGAAATTAGATAGAATGATGAATCAAGATGTTCATTTAATTCCCAACAATTAAGCTTCTTTTATTTGCAACTTCTATGTGTGTGTCCTAACTATTCAAAAATAGCTATATGTATGGATTTAAAAAAAAAAAAAGGATTTTTTTGCCTTATTTCCTTGCAAATATATATTTTCAAGAAATATTTAGGGCATTTGAAATGAAACCATCATTACATTTTGCTGAGACTCTTGGTTTAGAAGGAATTTAAAATATGCAGACAAAATGGAAAAACACTTAAGAAAATAAAGGAAACCAATGGAAGAGACGGATAAATATAAACCACCCTTAGAAGACAGATAGGGGCATAAAACTGTATGTACATAAAGTGCAGATGGTGCCATTCCAGTGCATGTAATGGGGTGGTGGTCTGTCAGCGTGTTTGTGTGTTTGGATGGGAGGGGGGGGGCATCTCCAGGGAATAAGATTTTATAACTACAGGTTGGGCAATTGCTTTCCCAGCCCAGGGAAATAAGCTCTTGTTAAGTCTATTTGTCCTCGAGTTATCTGGATAATCTGTTTTTTTTGTTCATTTTTTTGTATGCATATTTACCCAAAAATCATAGCCTTGCTTTTATTTGCACTCTAAAATTGACTTCTTACAGATTAGCCTTAATTTCTTTTTATTTGCCCATTGTGAGCCCTCTATACACTTCTCAGATCAGAATTACTGACTTCTAACTTTCAGATTTCTAGAATACACTGGGAAAAAAATTAATTTTTTTCTTAAAATAAGCACATTTGTTCTTGGATTGAGGAGGTAAAAGCGACATTTTGCCAATGGAACAAGACAATATCCACTTACAATGAGAAAACACAATTGCATTGTCTTATTTAAAGTGCGTATTATCTAATTAATTTATTTTAAGAGTAAAAATACTCATTTCATCTCTTTTACCTACTCAATTTAAGGGTAAATACAAGAAGTGGGATGAGGAACAGGTCGGCCAGAGGGGATCACCACTCTATAGACACATATTCATATCTGAGGGCAATTTAGAGTTAAGAGTAAATAATAAAAGGTTTAATTTGTCTGAGGGTGGGAGGAAGCCAGAATACCAAGTGAGAACCCTTTTAATGCCTCAATACAACACTGTTAACAACTGCCCCATTCTGCAGCTGAGAGGATGTGATGGTTTCTAAATTTGCTCCTTTCTATGTAAATAAGATTCAGCTTAATTTGTCATATATGTGTATCCATACCCTGAATCTGACACTTTAATGTACAATGCACCCAATGTTTTGACTTATAATTTGATACCATAACACAATAATACACCGGAAAAACGATCTAGAAATAAGTAAAAATTCCTTAAACTAGGTTTTACCCTTAATTTGAGTTGGTAAATGAGATGGTTTGCCAATGGAATGAGTAAAATAAGTTAATTAGATTATGTGCACTTTAAATAAGACAATGCAATTGTGTTTTCTTATTTTAAATGTAAATTGTCTTGTTCCCTTGGGAAAATATCTCTTTTACCTTCTCAATCTAAGATGCACTTATTTTAAGAAAAAAATGACTTATCTAGAATTCTAATTTTTCCAGTGTAGATCAGTAAAAATCAAACAGTGGCTGCAGAATAGAAAACATATATATATATATATATATATATATATATATATATATATATATATATATATACTGACAAGTTAAGTTACAATACTGACAAGTTAAGACAGTAATACAATAGTGCAATGATCAGTTAAGAGTTGATTTATTTCCCAAGAGAGAAATTGATTAGTCACAACAGCAAAATAGAATGAAACATCTGCAGGTGTACAGATAGATGATTAAAAGAGAAACTTTTTTTTGCTATGCTTAAACAGGCATAAGGGGAAGGATGTGTTTTTTTTATTCTTATAAAATTCAACCTGGGCTTGAATCTTAGAATTAAAAAAGCTTAATTCAAATATAAACCAGTTTAAAGAAAAAAAGACGGAACTGCATGATACATAAAAGCTTTAAATAGCAGGTTAGCTCTTTATGTAAACACCAATATAAGAATGACGTAATGATGTCATTCTAGAGCTTGAAGAATTAAATGATTGTTTAAATTGAAGTGTGCAAATTTCCTAAAGACCTACTATGGCAGTCAGGAGTGAAAAATTAAAGGTATGGTAAGTCAGTTTGTTATATTATTTTACAACATCTAATTGGCCCAGTTGAATATATGATGGATATTAAAAATATTTTCTCCAGAAGCTTAATTAATTTCCACCTGGTAGCGACGAACCAGGTGAGTGGTTAAGGACAAAAACATTTACAGACGTCTTTGTCCCTAACCAGATAAAAAATGTTTCATGTAACCATGTCAGACGGAAGATTCTAGTCAAATTCGGAAACCGGTTTTGGTCCAATCGGAAAGAAATTTAATTCTAAAAGAGAGAAGTGTTTTTTTGCAGATTGCCATTTTGATTGATTTTCATGTACACACCAATTACGATCTTTGGAGTAAAAATGTCTCCACTGCGTATGTGTGACATTTTTAATTTTTCCCTTGGTCCTTGGTGGAGGAGGTGGCACTAAATGTAATTTGCAGATTAACATGCCAACCTGCCCTGTTCAGCTGTAGCAACGAAGCATTAGCATAAGGTACCACTGAGCCCTTAGCTTAACTATAATGACAATCAAAAACAAAAGTATGGATGCAAAGATGTGATAAGGTTGATAATGTAAAAAAACTACATCAGCAGACATGACTGAAGAACAATAGGGAAAGAATTGTGCAGGACAGTAACAAATAGTAGCTAAAGTTGATGATGAGCGGCCGGTACGGGTTGGTTTAAAAAACAGGCAGTTTCTTCTACTGTTACTGAAGCATTTCCAGAAAATTAGACAGTTCTGCACTTGCTTAAATTACTTAATCTGATTGAAAGCTTGGTACATTTGTGCACACGTCATGAGCCGGTTATTTTATTTAGTGTCCATTTAAACGGAGATTTCCAATTTCCAATTTAAATTGGATCGGGGAAATTTTGCGAAAGTAAAATTTGCTATGAAGAATATTTGTTATAGTTTGGGGTCTTATGAAACCTACCGTTTCACTTAGAGATATGCATGGCTCATAGAAGCTGCTTCTATTTAATGTGTTGTTTTGTTGACTGAAGAAAAAAAAAAGAATCCCACAGGGAATCAGCATCCTCAAAATGAATTTTTGTTGACACGGGAGAAGAAAGAAACCATACATTTAAAAAAAAAACATTTTTCACAAAAAAATTGTTACAAAATTGATTAAAATAAATAAAATAGGAAATTTTAAAGAGAGAGCGGTGCAAATCCTGTTCTCTTATTGACAATAGCCTTTTATCTCAATTAAATCCAAAATAGTTAAAGGCCTTTCTTTCAGTCTGTCAAACGTGTAAACGGCTGCTTCTTTACACAGATTCCCTTTTTTAGAAAGAACCTGACCAGTGTATTTATTTGTTTCAAATATTACAAGCTCAGTTTATTGTTGAGCAGATAAATAAATAAATATTTTTGCTGCAAATACTTTAAACTTCCTGATTTTTGGTCCACTGTGAAATTGAGCTCAGGAAGACTTCCTGTTCAGTCTGACTGGCAGATATAAAAAAAACCTTAGGTGTAAATATATTATTAATTAATTAATTTAAACCTGTTTATTTTGCATCAGCATTACACACAGATTAATGTAAATGTAGTATTTCGTGATTAATCCGCTGTTTATGTTTTTATACAAACCACTTTGAAAACAAAGGATATTATTTTTCTAAAATTTTACATTTTTTGTTTAAATAAGGCTTAGAACAAACTGAAAAAATATCTTATAGTTTTAATTAGAAGTTTCAAATATTTTACATGTCCTCATTATTTCACTAGAAAAAAATCCAAATCCAAGAACAAATGCAGTCAGTTTTTCTTAAAATAAGTGCATTTTTTTTGGATTGAGGAGGTCAAAGAGACATTTTGCCAATGGAACAAGACAATTTACTCTTTAAATAAGAAAACACAATTACATTGTCTTATTTTAAGTGCATTTTATCTAATAATCGTATTTTAAGAGTAAAAATGCTCATTCAATTGGCAAACTATCTAATTTACCTACTCAAATTAAGGGTAAATACACTTAATATAAGAAATTGTTACTTATTTATAGATTGTTTTTCCAGTGTTTTTATTAGGTTTATGTGCTTTTTAAAACAAGATGTAAGAGTGTCTCTTTAATTCTTTAGTGAGCTGTTACTCTAAATCAAAGGTTCGTATCTAACATTTACTTATATTTAATATTAAACTCTAAATAGATTCTTCTTTTCTGGCTTACAAGAGACATTTAGTTTTAGATTCTTAGTTGGACGGTTACTTTTTTTGCAGTGTAAAACTGACGGCTTTAGAAATATAAAACAATCACAGCAGATTTCTTTAGATTGATTTGCTCTCTTCTGCAGCTTCCATAGGTTTTAGGCTCACTAATTTACACATGGCTTAAAGAAAGGCAATAATTCAAGTTAAAAGAAGTTATTTGGATGGTGTCAGATATTTTTCTCTCCGTCCAAAACCTTTAGAATATGACTAAAGGAGAATGCTGTTGTAATGATTTCTGATTGAAGAGTTGATCAGTCTGTTTTAATGTATTTTTTATCTGAACATTTTATGAATCATGACCTTGCAAACATTTCCAGGACAGTGTCAACATGAAAAAATGTAAACTTCACACCAGTGGCTGCTTAGAAGAAGAAGAGCAGGCGTCTGATGAATGAGAGGAACGACGGCTATTTGAAGCCACTTGACTCTTTCTCTCCTGCACTCGTGCAGCTGTCAACGACAACTGCTCTTCAATGCGGTAAACTCACACACACACACTCCGCCATCCCTGTGTGCAGCGTGCAAGCTGAGCCTCCGACATTAATAAAGGATCCATTTAGTGTGAGTGGAGTCTTGCTCTACTGGGACAACTGGTGTGATGTA